CGCCTATTTTACTATGTCTGTCGAATATGCCTAAGTTTTTGGTTTATGGCAGATCCTTGTATCACACGACTCGCAAAAAAAATTGAAAAGCGTTTTATGTGTTTTTCCAAGATTATTGTCGGAAGATTCTGTGCTACTTGCACAGCCACCGGCTATCTTTGTTAGGATTCTCTATATATCGGTTGAGAAAGTAAAAGGAAAATATATATCATATGAAAAGATCAAGTAATTGTTTTGAGTTTTGAAGAAAAGATGGACTATTAGCGCTGTATGTGTTTTTCAGATCATTTTCGACCTTTCAATTAGCCATTTTTCGAGTTGCATATATCATCTGCAAAAAAAACTGACATTTTGCGCACAATTAAAAAAAATTGTTTTACCTGTAATCATTTTGGTAAAATAATGGCGCTAAGTACTTATTAAAGCGTGTGGGGGAAAATTTTTTCTTTTTTTTCTTGTTTTTATTTATTTTAAATTTTTGTTTGTAAAAAAGTTTTATGATAATTTATTCTTTTGACTTCACGGGTTAGTCAAAACAATCAAAATTTTGCCTTGATACGAGCAGTCTTGATTTGTTTTTGGTTACCCAGTTAGAGTCGTTTTGTCTATTTATCTAAAAAAAAAGAAATAGAGAAAAGAAACAAAAAAAGAAAAAGAATCAGTATTTGGCAATGCCCCAGATTGCCCAAGAAGATTTTGAACATTTTGGATATGACATACATGCAAACCCAGTTCTTAAACATGTGGATTAAGTTACTTACAAGTAAACTGAAGCTTTTTATTTAAAATCTACAAACTGCCTAATAACTCCACAGACTCCAAAAAGTAGCCGTTCCAGTTGAGATGTTGATGCACGGGTTACACTTCGTTAAAACTTTATTTGGATTATTTGTTAAAACACGGATTATTAAGGCTCGGTGTTTAAGACAAAAGTAGACTATTTTTGTAGTTTTTAACAGGATGTTAATTAATAGTAAATACAATTTTCAATGAAATTAGCTCCAAAAAAACTAATCTGTGATTACCTCTGCTAGAATTGCGATAAATTATGGGATAATTGGCTGGCCAATTTGGTTTAACAATATTTTTGCAACAATATTTTTAGAACAAGTTTAAAAAACAAAAACTTTTCTTGACTTATATGCTCTCTTTTTTGTCGTTCTAAAACTAGAAAAACCGAATGAAACAGAAACAGTGCAAACTTTCATCGAAATATACAACCATTTTTAATGAAGACGGCTGGTAAGAATTTAGAGCCTCTACATTTGGAACTGAGTTGGCGCTGTCTAAAAATTTTTGCCTGCAGCGTAGAACATGTCATATAGACTTTTTTAAACAGTAGTTAAATCTTTTCAAAACATCAATCTGCTTGATGGATTAGAAACTTGAAGGCCGTAAAACAGAAATGCTTGAGCATAAAATGAGAAAAAAATGATATTTTATACCATTCTAATGTTGCTCCTTTAATCACACAGTTTTCCCAAAATAATGAACTGAAAAGGATTATTTTGAAAGATTGCCCCCTTTCTTGTAACTTCCTTATAGCTATAATTTGATAGAACTTGGATTATTCGCTTGAAGAACTCTGACTTTTCTTTCTTGTGGTTTACCCTTAAATCTTGTTGGCTATTACAAGAAAAAAAAACTATTTCAACGTTGCGTTATAAACTAATTTCACGCCAGGCTAACTTTTCCTGTCAATTAAAATGCCTTTAAAATTTTTAAAGGTTAATTGTTTTTGAACTTCAAATCACATAGTTCCGTTACTTACATTTCAAAGAAAAGGGTTAAAAAGTGGAGACAAAAATATTGATACTTTATCTAAGAAGCATGTTAAATTCTTCGATATCAATTGTATTTTAATTCCGTGATCACTTAATTGAAGCAAATATATTTTTGATCGAAACAAAACTTTGAACTTTTTTAGTTTTCAGGAGACTCTGGGGACTTTGAAGTCAGGTTGGACTCTTTTGCAGTCGATGGATATGGGAAAAACTCAGCTTTAACAAAAACATTCCGACCCATCGTCTCATTTCCGGTCCATATCATTGAGGAAATTTGCCCGCCAAACATTTTTCGAGGGGCCCTACTTTAGTTTTAATTTTACCAATCTAACAAAATTTTCAAGTTGTAACCTTGACGCCGAAGTCTGAGATGAAGTTTGAAATGTTAAACGGAAACTTTATATCATTTTTTGGATCAAAAACGTATAAATAGTGCTTTGATCACATCATCTAGAGGCTCGTAAGGATTTAATGGTGGTGTTATACAAAAGTCAGTCGTGTTTTGGATTGCTAAAAATTTTACGATAGAAGGAGTATCTATTGGATTTCAAATGAAATTGAAAAAGCCAAAAAAAGCAGCAGTAAAATTGCAAAAAAATTCAACAACTATAAGTTGACCCTGGCTTCTAATTACCTTAAAATCAGATTTACACAGTCTATGAATTGTCCATACTTTAAACTTTCAATAGGCCCTAATTGGTAACGAATGTCTGATGTTTTCGCCGGAATTTTTTTTTGCTAAAATCTACCTCAAATTATTGACATAATTTAACACGGAATTGGTTTTGAAAAACTTGTGCCTATTTTTAAATACAATGAAGCAGAATTGCATATATCAAGCTGAAGAACTGAATCGTTTGACTGCCTATTAAAATCAAAAAATAGCAGTCGAGCAGTAAAAAATTTTAGACGAAAGGTTTTGAAAAGGTTAAAAATTCAAGGAAAAAGATTCCTCATTGTTCTTAAAATGTGAATTAGAGAAATCTGATAATGCGGTAACGCGTATTTTGGAAATATATATATACCTGTTTGCGGCATAGTCTCAGCGTTAAAAAAACTGGTAAAATAGCGTACAGTAGATAATTCAATTTGACCCAATTTGATAGTCCCACAGCTGTGCAAAAAAAAAAACGTTCAAAAATCTTTAAAACACTCGTTCAGAAATCTTTTTAAACGTTTGTTGTAAATTTGAGCTCAATATCAATTTTGTTCTCGCTGTTATTGATAATGCTCATTATAATTTTAAAATCTGTTCCGGAAAAAACACTCCAAGCAAAAATCGAAAGTCCGAACCTATTTACAAGGTAAACAAAAAATTAAGCCAAAAAAGCCCCGTTGATGATTTTCTGAATATAAAAAGCACCCTAACCACAAATTTTTTGCACTTTTTTTTCGAAAGAAAACAAACATTTTTTTTCATGTTCTTATTTCACATTATACAATTGCACAGTTGCGTTGTTTTATTTTAAAGAAAATAGGCCGAAAATAATTGTTTCATTTCAAAAAATTAATTGTCGTGTCTTTTTTGTTAAGATTGCTTTAAAATCTGACTTTTGATGAAAATGGTGGAATATTTGTGCAAAAAAGAATTTTTTCTCACGAAAATTTTTGATTTTTTAACCAGTACTATCTTTATGAAATTGATGTCTTGATGTAAAATTTAACAATTTTTTTCCTCAAAAACTGTTTCAAGTTGATTTAAGGACGAACTTTTGTCCCAAATCACTATGTCACTGTAACAAAATTTATCACTTTGTAGCACTTTGTGAAAATTATCACTTTAATTTTTTAACCTGTATCATCTTTATCGTACTGATGCTTTAATATCAATTTTATCCGGTTCACAAATTGTTTCAAATTGATTTGAGACAGAATTTTTGTCCTGAATTACTCCGTTACTATAAAAGAGTTTTTCACTTTTTTCTTTAAATGGCGTGTGGAAAATGATTTTTATAAAGACTTCAAAAAACTACTTGTACCTACGTACGCCCCGCCGAGGGGCTCTCATAACTTTAAAAACTTGACTGTCTGGTCAGTCTGAACTGAATCTTCCTAAATGCTTGTTTTTGATGCTGAAAATGTATAAATGTGTTTACGCGTGACGAATTATCCTACGCAACAAAATTGTTCAAAATTGAAATGAGGCAAGCTAATTTGTTATTACCAGTTTAAAATTTTAAAATTTGATATAACCAGCTTAAAACTCATAAATTCTCATTTTTTCACTAGCCTAAAGATACCAGTCAAAAGACAAACAGAACATTCAGGATTTAGGATTTTGCCCTGATACGAGCAGTCTTGTTGTTCTGACTTTCGAAGAAAGTGACGGTATATTTACGCTCGGCGACTTTTTAACTAGTCATTTTTGATGTAGTTTTTTTTAATAATCATCTGCAATTATTGTTATCCTGAGCTCAAATTATAAAATATATATATTTCATCTGTAAGCAATTTTTGTGATTTAGGGTTTTTAAAATTTGCCATTTCGGCCAACTTGGGACAATTTACGCGCGAAATGTTTTGTGCTATAAACGCGTGGAGGAAAAAAATACAATTTTAAGAGGAAGATTAATCCGCCTAAGAAATTGTTTCAAATTGGTTTAAGTAGGTTTCTTGCTTGGGTGCCATAACTTGGGTGCAATTTTTGGGAAAAAACAGTATTTTGAGCACTAACTACCCGGGTTGAAGTATCACCGTTAATTATCATTTTTTCTGTAGCATCCCAGTGATCATTATTTTCCAGCACTGATTCTTATATAAATAATTCAGAGCTTTTGCAGAGCTGAACCTGCGATATTTCAGAGCTATTTCAGTAATGATTTTGCATAAAATCAGCGCTAAAATTTAAACTCATTATAGTAGCTTTCAAAGGAGAGTTTCAGTTGATAAACCCTTTAACTTCAGGGCGTAATGGTAGCAGGCATGTCAGTAAAACTAATAGTTTTTGGATCGAATCCCTGTAAGATCATTATTTTTGCTCATTTTGATAGATTTTTTATCGATGAAAATTGCTATTGTAATTCATCGATGGCGATCACAGTGTTTTTTCACTCTTTTATTGCTTATTTTCAATGTAAGCTCAACCCGGATACTCTTAGTTGCTTTGCTTTGCTTTTTTTCATCCAGCAATTTTCGCTAATCGTAGTTGCAAAAACCGATTTTCTCCGTTATTTTCTTTTTTTTTGTCTCCGTGCAAAAACAAAGAATTATTTTTACCTGTTGATGAAAACTGGAGTGAGATGAGAGCAACCCATAAACACGAGAAAGCAATTCCACGTATCGATTGTTGTTTCATCAATAAGGCTGTGAAAAGCATGTAGTAAAAAACCTTCACTAATAACCCGATAAAACAGGATGACTTCTAATAGTTCCAAATAGGTGATAAATCAGCAAATGTCAGTTTTTGAAAGGTGAAAACATCATAAAACGAAGGTTAGCCAAGTACATTTTGGATCGGTGTGTCTGATAAAAAGGTATAAGAATGGTTTCCCTCAGTGCATAATTGTGCTGAGAAGAATGATAAACAATAAGATGACAGAAAACTCCCCTTTTAATATTTCCATAGGCGGTATTTCCGTTTCTCTTTGATTCCCTTCAAGTCTGATAGTATCGACAAAATATTGAAAGCAGAATGGTGAAAGCTGATTATTTCAGTGAGAAAAGATAAAACATCAATCTGATTGTGTTTTTAATATACGAATGCGTTTTGTGTGACCAGCATTTGTTTTTATTTTTGATGATGATTACGAAGGATGAAATGTGCCGATAAAAGATTCTTTTGACGGGGGAAAGGCGAGTTCAAGTGACGAATTGATGCTTAGGAAACAAAGGAAATTTTGAGGAGCTGAAAGGATTTTTCGGAGGAGCGGATAAACAAGTTGCGAATTGTGGAAATAAACAAAAATAAACAAAGGACCAACCTGTCCCTGTCGTCTAGTAGGAATAAACGAAAAAAGGGACACAAAACTAAATTTGAGCTCTATTTTTCCTTGCCTTTTTTGGCCGCGCTAAGTTGGACTAATCCACAAGATTACTTCCCGTCAAAATAAGTTGCCGGGGAAATTTAATTGCAATACAGTTATTAATCTGCGGTTGGTTTTGATAAAACGTCAGGTAATAAACTAAGACAAAAATGGAAAAGTAACAGCAAAAAGTTGCGTCAAAAATATTGGAAAGGTTGCAGAAATTGGTTCAATGATTTATTTTTGGTTTTGAAGCAGATACAAATTGAAGGTTTTTAAAGTTGTAATAATAAATAGCGAGAGTGGATATTTGATTTGATTAATTTGGGATGGGATTATGGAGCAAGTACAAACTCTTGTTATAATAATATCGGATTAATCTGCCAACAAGTCTAATCAATGGTCTGCAGGATCCCACCAAATTCCAGTGGTGACCGAGATATTGACGTTTTGATCGCACTCCCGCAAAACCAATACTGCCACGGGGTATCCAAAACAAGTGTGAACCAAATACGCACTAAAGTATCCCCCAAGTGGGCTAAATAAACTGAATCACGGCTGTATCTGCTAGCTGGCTGCTGGAGTCGATTTTATGACCCAAAGGTGCCGCTTTATGACTGTACAAGTTGTTTTGCCAGAAGACTCAATTTTCCACCCCCAAATCACGAACTAGATAGTCTATAGTCTTTTTTTGCGGCGATTTACTCGTTGATGCTAGTGTTCGCAGTTGTCGTCAATATAGTCTTCACCTCAATCTTCACCGCAATATAAATTTCAGGATCTAAAATGAAAAACTTCACTTTCGATTTTATCTTGAAATCATTTCATATATCCTTTTTTGAGCTAGAATAAAAATTAAATTGCTGTTTTTGACAGCCATTAGCAATAGACAAGACGCATTAATATTTTATAACCTTGTTTCTACCATTTATTTTGTTTATTTTTGTCTGAACTCAAAGTGATAATGATTATCAAACTCATTTTTCCTGAAAGATGAAGAAAAATTTAATTACGTTGTTGACGGTGCAAAATGTTTTAACGATATCGAGCTAGACCGTAAGCAATAAGTTGTACTTTTTACGAATCTCAGGAGGGGCTAGGAATAGTTAGTTGCCGGTAACTTCACTAGCGTTTTTCTTTTTGGAGACTGAGTATTTCAAAATCAATTTTTTCGATGTATAATTTTTATTTTTTATCTCGCACTTTTCTTGCAATTTTTTGTTACCTATAATCAATTAAAATGATGTCGCGAAATTATCTTGAAAATTCACAACATACTCAAAGAAAGGTTTTCAATACAATGTAATCAAATTTCAAAATACAAGAAAAAACAAGTTTTCACCAAGTTTTCACTACAATCTGGACTATTTAAAGTTAAGAACAAAAAAAGCTTTTGGCTTTTGGACACAATTTTTATGGGACGGCACTTTGCTTACAGCTAAACAAAAAAAATAATCATAATAAAAGTTTTCCTGCGAACTGCAGTGGAGCTATCACTAAACCTTATCAGGTCAGTCCAAAGATGGTCCATTGTAATATTTACACAAATTCCAGACTGAGTCATTTTGTTATCTGAAGTCCTTTTTTGCGACTCAAGACCGTTTTTTGCATCTTGAATTTTCATAAAGTAACAAAATTGTAGCCAAAATTGAGCGGAACTTGGTAGACTTGAAGCTACAGGTCAAGTGCCCACAGTATTTTTCTATTTAGACCAGGTTTGACAATAAAGTTAATAGTTTTTGGTAGAAAAAAATTGTCCCAAATGAAGATATCGACTCCTTCGATTAAAAAATCAGTGTGACTATTTATAGGACAGAAGGAATAATCAAGTTTTTGCCCGATACAAAAGCGTTGATTATATCCAGGTTTAACAGCGGTGAATTAACAGCGTTGATTATTTCCAGACCAATTTCGGCATTCGAAATCATAATTTTAACAAAATGATTTATACACCAGAGGCAATATTGGCACCCTGAGTTTGAAAACAAAACTATATCTCCAGCTAAAACTTTTGAAAAAATTCTCGAAGTTAAAAAAGTTTGGGGGTTGCTTGCTTCGGCCGTAAACTTGAACTAAGTTATGACCTTATCTACGAATTCATCCAAGCTGCTGAAAACTTGAGTCCCAATTATTTAAATGTGGCAATATATTCCGAACCCAAATTTTTTCAAAATTCGATTGCAAGCCTGGTGGTATGATTAAATTCCTGTACGGCCAATGTTAAAATACTTACTTTTTTATAATGGCTAATCGGGGAAGGAAAAGCAAAAAAAAATAAAAACTTGTAGTTTATGAAACATTTCTTAGCAAAACTTACTAAGAGCCAGTAAAAAGGCAGTGGGAACTTTGGGGTACTTGTTGATTCTATAATTAAATTGTATGAAAAAACAATATTGATTTGGATAAAAATTTGTACTTGAGTTCATTTTAAGCTGAAATTTTTGTGGCAAGAATTATTTACTGATACAAACGTCTCTGACCTCTTTCATTGAAATAATGTCTCAGTATCTTAATAGGTGTTGTCTCAAGCTTTCATTTTGTCAATTATTGTTCCAACCATTGAAAATGGGGAGGAACTTTGTATTCTGTGTGTTTTAGTTTTCCTTTTTGTTTTCCACGCAAAATCAGGCACCACAATTAATCATCGAACCGGACTGGGTTGAGTGATATATCATTTAAAACCCTTTCAGTTGTGATTCGAACCCCATTAAAAAGTTCCCAACATTTTTTTTTAGTGTCGAGAAAGACCGGTTTGAATTTTCAGTCTTGATTTGAGCAAATAAAGCGAGCGAGCAGGCTCACAACAGCTGAATTATGCCTAATTTGAGACTTTAAAACTTAATTTTAAGCAAGTTAACTCGCTTTTGGAGTATTTTAGCTTCATTCTTGGAATCAAAAACTTCAAAAAACTTATCAAAAGTTTTCTGCAAAAATTTTTGAAAAATATATTTTTTTTAGTTTTTCAAGTCATTTTTTGAAAACAAATTTTTTGTCCAATTTGCCTATTTTACAATGACTGTCTAATATGCAATAATTATGTTTCTACGCCAGATCTTTTTTTAATCACACCAAGCAGAAAAAAGTTAAACTAATTTGAAAAAAAAGCTTTCTAAACCGTAGTTTTCTAAAGACTATGGTCGAAACATTCTGTGCTTCTTGCAAAGTAACCGGCTATCATTGTTAAACACTTTGTGTACTGTTTTTGGACAGTTATTTCCACGAAACAAATTTTATAGAACACGAATTTTTTGTGAGTTTATTTATTTTCAGTTGTCGCACCGAGGAAAAGTTTACAAAAATATTTCAAATGAAAACGTTTAAAGGGTAAACTTTAAAAAAATCAGCCAATCTTTTTAACAGCTCTTTCAAGATTCACTGCTATTATTCTTCTTTTAAAAAGTATGAGAACTCTTTTTTTTTTAAATAAGTTACTTCTTCTAAAACCCATTTTGAAAATAAGTATCAAATTATCATAATAAGTTCCTATCAATTATGGTATATGCAAGAGCAACAAACTTGATACTATTTAAAGATTAATCGTAGAAACAGGGATAATTTGCAAAATATCATTTTGTCAAGTTGATAATGTTTACAGTTTTAATATTTCTGTAAGTTGCTGCAGGCAATTTTTTGGGAAAAAAAAATAAAAAGCAGATTCTCAATCTCAAAATAACACCTTTTTTCAGACGTAACCGGAAAACAAATTTGTCAATTTTTGTGAAAAAAGGCGGGCTTACCTTTAGCTCAATTTAAGCTATATCTGTAGCAATTTCTTAAAATGTGTCTGCCTGTTGTTGGTTTTGATCTGGCGTTGATCTTTTTTATAACTTCATCCCGGAGGATTTTGAACAGTCTGGACATTAGCTGATTGTTACTAACCAGGTGAATATTACCTGGTTATTGGGATTGCACCGGAAGAAGCGGCGGACAGTCTCGGTTAGCGAAAATCAGAGAGGAATCAGTGGTAAAGACAGTGTACCTAAGAAAGGAAATAAGACAAGATTGGCTTTTGAAGATGAGCAGACGAATTAGTGAATGAAGGGAAAAAACGAGCCAATTCCAAGTTGAATGGAATTTAGGAGTTATTAGGAGGTAGCTATTATTGTCCCATTGGTAGCCATTCGACTGTCGCTTACTTCAATATCAACATTGAAAAAATATTCCAATACTTTTTAAGATTTGAACCAATATTTTGGTGTAGTTTTTATAATTTAACTATGGTATTTTCAGCTATAGTTGGATTAGGTGAAATCACTGATGCGTTTTTCTTCGACTTGCCTCTTATTTGAAGCCTATTGGTTGAAAAAAAAGGTAGACTAAAAATCTTTTCGGAGTCCCGCCGCGACCATTGTCACTTTACAAAGCGGCAACCGGGAAATAATGAGAGAATGATGCGATAACGCATAAAAAGATCAAGCCAACATTTATAAATAAGAGGCACAACAGAATTGACAAAAAGAATCGCACGTCTCTATATTATGCAGTTTAGCCCTTCGCTTAGTACACTGAATGATGTTCTTTTTGCAGCGAGCAAAAAGGGAATCATCATAAATAAGTCACTATGTGTTCCAAGTTCGACCAAAAGTGGTTCAATTTTTAATCCGAGAATTAATTATTTTCCCACAAAAGGTAAGACTACCATTAGCTGAAGGCGTTTAAGATTGTCGATGCCCGGGCTGATTTTAACGTGATGTTTTCTTCGAATAATGGAACTATTAATGGAAATATAGCTCTTTGCTAAAATGGGAGTGTTTGTTGCTTACAATAGAAGACAACAACAAGGAAACAATTGAAGGCTAGAACGATGAGGTGAAAATGAAGTAAACTTGTTCTAAAATGCTCCAAAAACAACCAAAGGCATAAATAAAACACTTCAAAGAACCTTAAATGATTAACTTATCAGCACTTTTACATTCTTTTTGATGAAAAACAAGTGGAAATGTCAAAGCTTTACCTAAGTGAAATCAATTATAGGGGACGGAAACACCATGTGAACTTTACAGGTTATAAAATTACGAGAATGACAACAAACACTTCAAGAAAAAGAGGAGCCCCAGAATAATGAAAAAGCCCGCAATTTCTGCAAAAAAAAAAACAGCCAGATCAAATATTGGCTGTTCAAATTGTTTTTTAAATACTTTAAATTTTTTGGCTGTAAGAAGATAGTTACGTATATTGTAAAATTTCTGCGATCTGGAAGGTTGTTTTGAACTTTATGGTTTAATTATTCTAAGGCCTTCTTGCAGTAGCAATGCAATCAGGTACTCTTAATCTGGGAACTTATTTAGTTTCTTATCACTAAAACTGTTAAAATATAATCATATAAAAAAAACTCCTACCGCTGTTTTTTCTCAACAAAATGTTACAATTTTGATTTAGAATTCAGCATCCAGTTTCCTGTGTTAGTAATCAGTTAATTTACAGTTTTATCAAAAATGTTCACTGAATTGTGAAACAATCCAATATGCTATCAAAAATCTTTCATGTTCTCTCGTTTTCCTGTAAAAATAACCTATTCACAGCATCACCTCTTTAAAGAGAGATGAGTATCAGTGAGGGGTAGGGAGATGAAAGAGAATGAGTATTCGTTCACAGATTATCGAAATGGTAGTTCACGATAAGACATGCGAAAGGATAGGTAGCAAAAATTTTTGTTAAACAAAACAATTATAGTTGAAAAATGTAAAGCTTTTACAACAGATTGCAACAATATTAAATTAACAAAAATTTTGAACACTTTATATTGGCTTATGTCTAAACTTTGAAGCGTGGAAAAGTAACCTATTTATCAATTTCCCAAATTGACAAAAACGATAGTCATACAATTTTCATACAATTTTTTACATTTAAAAAATTAAATCAATTTTTTTATTGAGAATTACATGTCAAGCTTTCTTCCCTAAATTACAAACTTGCAGTTTTTTGTTTTCTCGCGTTTCAAAATTATTATGTTTTTTGCTTGTTTCCAACCACAGCAACTCTAGATAACAAATAGATAAAGGTAGGAACATAATTGTTCCGACCTTCGTAACGAAAGTAACGGAATATTTGTGCTCGGGGTGGGTTTTTTTCTTCAGACGAATTTCGACTTTTTAACTAGCCATTTTCACATTTTTTATACCATTCAAAAGTTATTGTTGTCTTGTGCTTAAACTTAAAATTAACTTAACTGTGATCATTTTTTGTAAAGTTATGGGGGTTCAAAGATTGCCATTTTGGCCAATTTGCGACAATTAACACGCGATATATTTCGCTCTATTAACGCGTAATCGGAGATTTAATTCGTCTTAGAAATCGTTCCAAATTGGTTGAAGGAAGCTTTTTTGACATAATTGATATGTTATTAGGAGCGAAATCTATCACTTAGTTTTTTATATGGCGTGTGGGGGGATAGTTTTTAAATAAATCTTTCAAGAAGTTTTGAATCTTTTTTTTTATTTTTCAGTTACATTTAGTTTTTTCATGTTATTTTTTTCTCCATAGACCTTAAAAAGCAGCCGGAACATTCAGGGCCTCGCCCTGATAGGAGCAGTCTTGTTGAAATTTCTCATAGAATAAATGCATTCTGAGATAATGACAAGAACTAAAACTAGATCTGAAGCAAATGTGTCATAAAAGAACACAATTTCCTACAAATGGCGCTGGAAAACTCTCGCGGAGTATTTTTATTTCATTTCAAAATATGCGTGATTTTTAAATCGACGAAAAGTCTGAAATTCATCAGAATGAAGCTTTTCATTAATAATTGGAGAAATAAACTAAAAACAAACAAAACTGCTCGTATTTCAGGGCAAAGACTTGAATGTTGCGACTGCCCCTTAATCCATATCGAACAAATTTTGGGAAAAAAATTTAGAAAAAAAACTTTAAATTTTAGAGAAAATCAAAATTTAATTGCATAAATTTGAATCGTACGAAAATAATACGACCGATTAGCTAGCCTCAATTAAATATGCAACAATTTTGTTGTGCGGGGTAATTCACTAATTCACCACGCATAACTAGTTCGCGTTACGCTCAGAACATTACAAAAAAAATCTACAAAACACGTGTAGCTCAGTTGAGAGCATGGCCAAACTGGAAAAAGTCAAACTCCCAGATTTTTTTCAAAAAAATGATCGGAGGCAGGGGTAGATTTACGAAGGGTGAGGGGGTGGGTTTGGACGAACCTTTTTTTCCCTCAAGGGTTTGACCCCCTGCCAACCCAAAGGGTCCCCCCTTTGTACTATCTTGTGATATCCATTTTTGGCAAAGGACCCTAAAATTTTTCTAAAAGCGCCTTTGGCGCCAATATTTTCTAATTTTGAGGGGGGAGCGCGCGACAAAAAAACTTAATTTTTTGGTCAAAATTATAAAAAAATTGCCTAAACACGCTTTTATGGCCTGGTTTTTAAAAGTTTGCCTGCGGCGCAGAAAATTTGACCCAAACAAGTTCCTTTTAGTATTTTGGGAGAGCTCGTAAATTCACATTGGTCACCTAAAAAAAACGGTCGACAAAGTTTTCGAAAATTTTTTGAATATCCGCCCCCTCCCTCAAAAAAGTCCTAGATCCGCCCCTGATTGGAGGTAAAACATCTTTTCTTTATATTTGATTTCAGTGAGACAAAATCTTCAATCATCGGGATCAAAAAAATTTTTTGTCAAAATTAATATTTCGATCTCCGAAAACTCACTGAATAAAAAAACGACCCAGCGTAAAAATTCCGTTTTTTTCGAAAGTGCTTGAATTTTTCAGGAGAATTTTGGAAGTTGCACTTGTCATGCAATTCCTAAATTAGGAATTGTATGAGTAGAATCTTCTTATAGACTCATCGTATGGAGTTGTATGAGTAGCATTTTTGTTGCAAGCAAGTCAACCCGGGTTGTTACTTATTACGTAAGGTTGAGAAATAATTTCTAATTTGAACAAGACCGCTCGTATCAGGGCAAAGACTTGATTGTTCCGACAGAGTTTTAGTTTCTAATGAACGTTTTCAAATTAAATGTCTGAAGAAATTTTCAAAAGAAATCTGAGAAAATTTCAAACAGTTGTTTTTTGTTTTTTTTTCTGAAATTTATTACCCCAGACGCTATGTAAAGTACAAAGTGATATACATTGCATAATAGCAAATTATTGAATAGACAAAAAAGCATTCCTCAATCCAGTCTGGAATGATTTATAAAATGAAGCAAATTTCCGCTTAGGCGTTAATAGCACGAATTATAGCGCCCGTTAATTGTCCCCATTTTGGCAATATTTAAGCCCCATAGTTTTATGAAAAATCATCACAGGTTAAAATACTTATAAAATTCACGCTCAGAACAACAGTACATGAAGCTTAGAACAGTGATATAAAAAAAATCCGTCATAAATTGCTAGTTAAAAACCACCCGGAACCACCCAAAAAACTTCGAAAGTCGGAACAAAAACTTACTTCTCTTTATTCTCCGAATGATAAGTCAGATACTAAATTGCAAATATCGTTTTATTCAAGTGTCAAATCTCTTGTTGAAAATCAGTTGCAGGTCTTGAAATCGACCAGCATATAAAAACTGACTTGTCCTCTGGTTAAAATATACAAATAAACAATTGGCATAAACAAGGCTCAGAAATAAAATTCAGATCACTTACAGAAAGCTTCAGCTATTTCCGATGAGAAAAAATTTTATGGTCTGAAGCTGAGTATGCTTGAAGCTAATTTTGCAGAATGTGTTACAGGCCATATAAAACGCCAATTTTGATTACACGTGCTGTCAGCATTTTGGCTGTATTAAGCGGGTTTAATAAATGGGTTATTTCTATATTAACGCTCTCTTAATTCAGTCTACCATTTTATGAGGTATATATTTAGACTTCTTATTTCAGATAGAAACTACAAAACGTCAGGTGATCTGGTCGAGAAAACTATTATAGTAATTGTATTCTTAAACGAGGTTTCAAATTTGACACTACAATGCATTTGTTTTCGAGAAGTACAATTAGGAAAAGCCTTGTTAACAATCACACAAACCTTCTTATCTTTCTTGTTAAGAACCAGCGGGCAATTAAACAATAACAAACCATTGAGACAAGTTTGCTCAAGTAGCTGCTTAATCTTAGGGCCGAAATTGTTGGTTTGCTCTCTTAATCAGACCTCAGATTTCGAAATAATAAAAGAATTGACCCCAAAACAAAATTTGGCATCTTCTTTGTTGTTCAAACTGTTTCATCACATTTAGGTCTATTATATT